TACTTCTCCCTATCATTATTTCGGGTGTCGATGCAACCCAATCCTGAAGCAACATTTTGCATTTCGAGGGAGAGAATCGCATCCCGAGCATCCTTGCATTGTTGCTTAGAGTGGTCAGAAGACTGCACTTTTTCAGCGTCTTCACCGAATAGAACTGTGTCATCGGCATATTCTAAGTCAACAAGTGAATCGCCTGGTAGAAGTTCAACCCCTGGAAATTTAGATGAGGAGAGTGTCATCTCTAAAAGTACGTCGACCACAAAGTTGAACAAGAATGGGGAGAGTGGACAGCCCTGACGAACATCACTTGAGGTAATCAATTCTGATGACAGTTCGCCATAAGCCCTCACTCGGCCTGTTATGTTCGAGTAGATTTCTTGTTGTTTTTCTCAACTACTGTTTTAACGTTTCTTGCTCAATCATCCATCTAGCTACTCTCATAATTAGCTCTAAAATTCGGATTTTGGAATCCTTCTTCATCAATGTCCTCATATGTCCATGCATTTAGTTGTGAACTGTAATACAGGTCCCACAGACCATGCGACTTTTAAGTCGATTTAGGTGTACTGAGATTCTAAGCAGTTAAAGAATGTCGAGTTCGTACATCCATTCTTTTTTCGAAAATTATTATCTGCATGTAAGCTTTTCACTGTTATTTCTTTTACCCTACTCGATTTGTCTTGCTTTTGTCTCGCTGTACCTATTGGTGTGATAAGATTCTCTGTCGTTGCTTACGACTAAGTTCGTACTTCATTAAATAAAGCCTCATAATTTCTCTCGTTTTCACATAACAACATCCTCTTTCTGATACAACCGCATGTCATTATAGTCTTATAACTCAAAGGTTATTTTAATAGTTGTAGATGAATTTCTTTACTTTTTGTCCAAACTGTCGTAACCCACACCTAGCTCCTTTAGTTCTTTTCACTTTCTACTTATTTTGTTCTGTCACCTTTTAACTATATGTATATGTATACAATATTTACTAGTTTTTACATCACTTTATTCTTAGCGAATAATTCCAAGGATGTAAATGACAGTGCGACAGCATCTGAAATATCATCTATTACTTATCCAGCCGGCACTTTATTTTCACCTATGAATACAATGACCGCTGTAATGTCAACTGGAACTGGAATGGGTGGCTGTAGTGCGTTATTGGTTCCTCTTGTAGCTGGTAGTCATGGGACAACTTTATTACCATCTAATATGACTCCTGTTTCATCTCATCTCTCTGTTGTTGCTGATCATTCTGTTTTGATGAATACAAATACTACACCATTAACAAGCAGTTCAATGAACTTTGTCCCTTCCAGTGGTTCTAATCCCATCACAAACTCTACCATGGTTCATAACACTCCCGGTTCAAAATCAAATACTAAAATTCCAACGTCCAATTCCGAATTGAATGGGCGATTAAGGGTGAGTAATTTGTCTTCTGTTTGAAATGATGGACATTTTATTAAGTTTTATTAGTGATAAGTTTTCTGACTGAACGCTTGAATCGGTCTCCTAACCGTAGACTAACTCTACAAGACGACTGGAACACGAGAAAAAAGGCGTGTAATATGGAAGGAACGCTTTACTACAAAGTTGGTTTGTGTACAGAAAACTGAGGGTGTGCACAGCATTTCAGACAGCCTTGGGCTTCTGGCAAGTTCTGGGACCCTACTGAACATAGTAACAGGATAGGTAATCATCCAATCGGAAATATGACACGTAACATTTCGCTTTCTAGATATTTCTGACAAACTTCTATTCAATACTGATTGGATAAAATATTTCTCAGCGTTTTTAAAGTCCTCTTTGGTTTTTTTAGAGGTGTTTTCAAGGTCTCTCCAACAATTAGTTTGTCACAAACTGATCTCATTTGAGATACTATTAAAAATAGCTGTTTCATCTTAGGATGGGAAAAATTAATGGCTGATGATTTACTCCTAGATATTCTTGAAGATATAGTGAAAGCTCCTAATTTCTGGATTTCAGATGTCTCACAAGCATAAAGGTTTTTACCAATGACATTAAATGGTTGTTGCACTTACTCCACTGCAAATTAATTGAAGATAGAATAGTAGTGCTGAAACCCGATCTGGTAGATCTAGTGTTTAAACACTCACCATGAGATCTGAATGTTCTATCTTTCGATTTCTCGTAAGATCGTGGGTGAACATTGCTGTAGCCGTCTAGTGCTTCTTGGTTTTTCAGTAGTACTCTGATTGAAATCAGTCTGACAAGCGCAATCTGTAGATGAAACCAGTCTCTACAAAACCCGTTCAACCGATAGATATTTGTTCACTAATTTACTACATATACCTTTATAACATTTATTTTCTATCTAGAATTCTAAAGATTCAGTTGAAATGAAACCAGAACCACTTGATTGTTTTGGACGAGTTACCACAGGTGCAGCAGAAGATCTTTTAACTTCTGGATCTCAAAATGAAATAAATGCTGTAGGTTTTCCGCAATTAACTTCAATTGCACCTTTCGCAATACCTTCCACTTCCATGGCAATGAGTACTTCAGTGTCTACTTCACCAGTTCAAGTTACACGAGTTAGTGGAGGAATCATAACATCTAATTCAACTGATGGTAACAACACAGTACCTACTGAAACCATTATAAATTCAAATTCTAAGGCATCTACGGGTTCTGGACCCTATCGTTGTCGGGAGTGTGATAAAGAATTTCGAATATTACGTTATTTAGAGAAGCATAGACGTATTCATACGGGTGAAAAACCGTATCAGTGTTGCTACTGTGGTCGTCAATTCAACGACTGGCCAAATATGAATAGGCATAAACGGATTCACACGGGTTAGTTATAATTTACCTTATTTTAATTATTACTGAACCATTTTTGTGGAGTGGTGTTTTAGATACCTGAACATGTATAATATATATAATCAAAGGCTCACAATGGCCTTGATCAGTATCAACTAACCTCTTTTGAAAACATCTGACATCAGGTTACCCTAAATCATTTTAAAAAGTTGGTATGTCAAATAATGATTGAAATTAGTTACCATTTATTTATAAACAGAGTTATTTTATATATATATATATATATATATATATATATATATATATTAAATGGATGTAATTTTTTATTTGAAATTCAGGGGAAAGGCCTTACCGGTGCACGGTGTGCACCAAGACGTTTTCACAACCAGCTGTTTACAATGAACATGTGAAACGACATACTGGTGAACGTCCTTATATTTGTACAGTTTGCGCCAAAGGATTCCCTCGAGCAGCTCGTCTGGCCGTTCATATGCGCGTTCATACAGGTGAACGTCCTTATCCATGTACGTCTTGTGATAGGAGATTTAGTCAACCACATCATCTTGCTGCCCACCTGTGAGTTATTTTCATAATTTATTTCTTGACTCCCTAAAACTTTTACACTTCAATAGGCTCATTTATTAGGATTTTACAACTTGGCATATCAGGATGGTGGTACGTGGATTAAGATAAAGTTGCTTTCCCAGTGCCTAATCTTTTTATACCGTTCGTCACATACCCTAACATATATTATGGTTTTTATTTAGTATCTATACAAGTTAAACCTCGTAAAGAAATCCTGCAATTAGTAAAAATGTTTTGTGTAGCCTCAATTTACAATTCTCTGAGTTGTAGAATAAAAAACTTTAATGTATAATCAGTGCACAGTTGTAAGAGATCTTGTTTTCATATTTCATACTCTTACTCTGGAAAATAAAAGTTTTTACGATATTTGTATTGGTAATTTAGATTTCGCACACAAGTGTAGTTTCTTTTACACTAGAATTATATACTGTAATTTCTGTGATTAATTTTTAGTCGTGTTCATAGTGGTGATCGGCCATACTCTTGTCCAAAATGTGATGTCAGTTTTGCATGTATTTCTAATCTGAGACGCCATCGGAAGCAAGTTCATCCAACAAGTCCTGTTCCAAATGATAATGCAGACGGCAGTGACGTCAAGAGTGGAAATGAAGAGAAAAAGCCATCACTCCAAATTATTACATCTACTGTTTCAGATAACAATAATAATAGCTCTTCCGTTATGACTATGGAAACACCATCCTATATTGCTTCGTCATCGAATTTAACTTCTGATGCTCCTGTTGCGATCGCTGCCGCAATGTCAGGGACCGTGTTAACAGCAACTGGTGCTCTAGTTCCTGCTAATTTCTTGCCTGCATCGTCAGTACCTGGACTAATTCTTACATCAGGTGCTCCTGGTGCTTTAATAGCTGCGCCAGCTCATTTAACTGAACCACATTCTCATCTTCATCCTACCATTATTGCACATAATTCAGGTAATTTGTCTTATAATCTAAAACTGATGTTGTTTATTGTGAATTAAGTCTTTAAGAGAACTCATGCAGTCTGCAAAGTAACTGACATGTTTCTTACTTAGTGATCACAACCCACTGGGCCCAGATTTATTTTACCTGCTTATCGTTGAAAGAAAACTAGGAATAAGCAAATCAAGACGTTAAACTAGTCTATGAACCTATAGAATGAATGTCGAGTTGGTATGTAGTCAAATAGGCTCGGACTTCTAGATTGGGGTGGAGGTCCACATGGTTGAAGATATCGAGTAAGAGGGGTCAGAATGGGCCCCAATAGCACAGATGAAGTCATTCTTTATTTTCCCTTAAATATTGAGCTTCAATATTATTTCATACTTTCTATCTCTCAAGCCCATCCCTCCTTTTTGAAGTATATCCTCCAATGCTTATTCTTACTATTTTTGATACTACTGTTATTTCATCGTCTTTGATGTGTTATCTTATTGTTCTGATGTGTTGCATTAACTTGGGATTATTATCATGACAAATGTCAAAACAGATTGAAGTAGCAACAACTGCAATTATGATAAAAAAATAACAGGCATGGACGTAATTCCATAAGGAAGAATTGATGCAAACAATAGAAAAACACAAAAGACGCAGAGTGAATCAATCCGTGCTTTTGCTACTGAATAAATACAAGTATAGAAATGAAGTACAGAAATTAATTGATTAACCGGTTGATTATAAGAAAATGTCTGATTAAGTGGATATGGATGGATTTCTTTCTTTCAAGAAACAGCTATTACCTTAAAACGACCCAATTAAACTAGCTAAACAGGTAAGAAAAATTATTCTGCTTAGTTTATTCAAAAAAGCAGAGTCGATCACATACCGGCATGATCTTTTCTGCATAATCTGCCATCTTCCACAGAAAACACTTTTGTGAAATATGCAGATGATCTCACTGTATTTATGCCTATCTCTTCCTCTTTACATCCCATAGAAATGAATGAGTTTTTGTCTCGTATTGATTGTTGGTCTGTTGGTAATGGTCTCATACTTAATCCGTCTAAATGTCAAGCTGTTAACTTTAACATGAGACATGAACCACATCTAAACACCATTTTGAGATCCCATAATACTTGTGCCATTGCAGACTCTTTGATAAACACAGTATCGAAGGTCAATTATCTTGGTGTTACCTTTTCTTCTGATCTCTCTTGGTCATCTCACGTTTTATTGTTATCAAAGAAGGTTTTCCGTCTGACTTACTACATAAAGAGATTGCATGCTCCTGTTTTTACTCGTCATTTACTCTTACAATTTGTCAAGTCTTGCATATTACCTATTGTTCTTTACTCTTCTCCATTATTCTTTCCCGGTGTGTGGTGAATCTTTCGACGTCATAATTAATATGGTTGTGGATAGACATCTAAAGTCATGCAAACTCCTGGCAGGTGTTATTTTAGATACTAACCATCCCCTTCATTCATATGTTTCTCCTTGTATATCTTCTGGTAGAACGAAACGTTATTACATTAAAATCCATGCATGCATGCAAAAGTATAAAAGTTCTGTAATACTTTAACTAGTAAATATACTCTGTGACGAACAGGTTGTTAGAGTTAACCTAGTCAATACCCTGCATTCTTAATGTCTCTAATTTGAAAATTTGTACAGTTTTTCGTTTTTTTAAACCTTTTTTTCTTGTCTTTGTTGCTGTTTTTTTGCGTAAGTAACTTGTTGAAATACCCTGGGCTGAGAATTCTATATTGTACCAAAACTATAATATTGAATAAAGCCATTAATTAATTAATAAAATAATAATTCAGTAACTATTAATATATTTACGAATTTCTGCACTTCATTTTCACCTCCGTCGTTGATGTTGTTGTTACTTCTATCTACTTTGACATTTGTCATGATAATAATCTCACTGTATTAATGTGCGATAAGTTGAACTGATGCATATATGATAAATCTTCTGACTGAACACTTTAATCGGTCTCCTAAGCTCTTGTAATAACCGTAGACTAACTCTACAAGACGACTGGAACACGAGAAAAAAGGCGTGTAATATAGAAGGAACGCTTTACTACAAGGTTGGTTTGTGTACAGAAAACTGAGGGTGTGCACAGCATTTCAGACAGCCTTGGGCTTCTGGCAAGTTCTGGGACCCTACTGAACATAGTAACAGGATAGGTAATCATCCAATCGGAAATATGACACGTAACATTTCGCTTTCTAGATATTTCTGACAAACTTCTATTCAATACTGATTGGATAAAATGTTTCTCAGCGTTTTTAAAGTCCTCTTTGGTTTTTTTAGAGGAATTTTCAGGGTCTCTCCGACAATGTGTTTCAAGCTCCATGTTGGATATGACAAACTGATTGGTTGCAGTCGTACAAATCAGTGGAAAGATCTAATCAACCAATATATGTGAATCAAAATTCACCTAATTACACAAGACAATGGCTGTCTTGATTCAGTATCTAAAAGGACCACGCGGCAGCATTTGAATGTATAGGTACTAGGCTCGAGTCCCTGAGTGAACATCAACTATGTGATACAAGTACATTCAGTTGACAAATCCCAAGGGAGACGAAATGTACATCATTGATTCGACTGCTAGCCACCATCTATCTCCGTTTAAAATGCCAGTGACTCTGCTTTTAATATCGAGTCGATCTTCATAGAATGCACATATGCTGATAACAGACTGATCAATTGCACTGCTAACCATTAATGGAAAGTTTCAAAGAACCATTATATATGAATCAAAATCAACTGACTGATCATGTAATATAATTAGTTATGTTACTTGTTATTGGCATAATAGTATTCCAACGGTTATACTTGCTTTTGCTCTCCAAAATTATTGATTTTATTGACCGAAATTAACTTCATACTTTATATTTATTTTCCTTTTCTTTCGCTTATATAGGTGAAGGAAATACATCTCTATTAACAACATCTATTTCTGGTGGTCTTTGTTCCGTTACTCATCCTTCTGCATCTCTTGCAAATTCATCAACTGCCTTAAGTGTTCAATCAGAAGCACTTTTAAAAGCTAGTTCTTCTCCTACAATGTCTTTTATGTTTCCAACTGTTCTCACTTCAACTCCTCATCATGGTGATGCACTCAGACAAACTTCAGTTGCTTTCCTTACACCAACAGGTGAATTAGATCGATCATGTACCGCTACTTTAGCTACTGCTGGACCTGATGGTGGATTTATATTGAATTCTGTTGGTGGAGATACTGTCTATTTAGAACCGGTGAGTATTTTTATTTTTTTAGTTTGTGGATTATCTTTTTATATTGGTTTTAAAGTTGCTACCGCATAACATTTAAAACTGCGTTTTGACTCTACCAATATTCAAGAAATTTGAGTGTTACTTGATTTCGGTTAACCGTAATCAGAATCCATTCAGCATGAATTTTAATTCCACTCCTGGTTGTTCATTAATGTATTTTATTTACTAATACTATTGGTTTCTTCGCCAGTGAATTTAGTGATAGATATCTGATATCAAGTTTCGTTGCTGCGATAGGTATCATTAGAAAGTAGTATTAACTCGTTTAGGGGAAAGCACTTTTGACTAACATCTGGTAAATTACTATTTGTAAACATGTCTATATTCTTTTCTCTACCTGTAAACTAATAGAAATGGGATAATAAAAAAATTATCCTTGATATTTGCTTCCAATGATTAAGTGAAATTCTACATTTACTATAGTCGTTGACTTAAGTTAGAGGATACTGGTTCACTCTGGGATGATGATCTTCAATGGGTACATGAAAATGCGGATTAACATCATTCTGAAAGTTATTTCTGAAGTTTATTGTAAACCTGTTTTCTAGTGATTCTTTCAACTATCATACTTCGCTTTAAATTTAGGCCTATCAATAACGATATACCTGCATATGTCATTGAAGTGGCACATTATATATATATATATATATATATATATATATATATATATATATATATATATATATATATATATGCTAAACTTGTTGTTAATCATCGTTTCCTTTCTTTTCAGTTGGATCCTCGACTCACTCTAGAACCCGGGCAACAGTTTACTTTAACTTCTATTCCCACTTCTCATCCGCAGGGAACAATTATTAATCCACATCACTCAGCTGCACATTTAGTGGGTCATCAGGTTCATTTACAGTCGGGACAGGCAACACATATTGCTTTTGCAACTAATATACCAACTCATGGCCATCAGGCTTCACAACTGTTAACTTCTGGTTCAACTATATTTCCTAATACAGCACCCAATCAGGCAGCAATTCACGGTGGTCATTCTTCTGCAACAGTTATTTTTCCTCCTCCTGTTTCTGTCCCTCACTCCAGTTTATCTAGTCAACAACAATCGGTACTTCAATCGTCTACGGAGGTTACAGCTCCTTCTCAGTTGTTACATTATCATAGACCAATTAACACTACAGGTGTTTTACCAGGTCGTCCTTCATCTACACCTACTCAACAGCAAACAGCAATGCTTGTACCTATAGTGCATACACCACCGGTTAATGTAACATCCAGTCTACCAAATTCAACATCCAATACAAATGAGTCAGTTAACTCAACTCCTCTAACAACAACATGGCCTGTTAGTGGTACGTTTTTAACATTCGCTTCCTCACATCTCTGTCCTGTTGCTTCGTCCACTGTTATGGAAGATCATACAGATTCATGTGCTCTTACCAATTCTCGTCCTTCTTCTGTTCTGTCAAACTCCTCTTCTCTGGGTGCTATCACTGCTGTCTCAGTACCAGAAACAAGTTTATAGTTATTATTTTTTTGTTTCTCATTCCGTTTAATGACATTGTTTACGTGTTCTTAATCCAGTTCTTTGTGTTATGTATGTTTATTCACATTAAAATTAAATTGTGTTATCCGACTTTAATACTTTTATACCATTCTTATTAAGTAAATAACATCAGTAGAGGTACTTTCTATTGAACAGTATTTCTACTGGTGACCTTCCTTCTTGTACTTACTATCATTTATTATTTCATACTCGTCTTTTTTTTCAACAATAACTTGATCTTTGATTTCGGTATTTTCATCATCATGGTATGTGTGAGTGTACAAATTAGTTTTGTTACGTCGTGTATGTGTGTGTTCAGTGTTTAGTCATTGTTATTTGCTTTTACATTTTCCTAATTAGCTAGTTTGATGTAATATCAAATTCTTCTTCTTCTTACTATATCTATTTGAATAAAAGAGCAAACATTTTATAGTTACTAGCTGTGTTGACTTTATTTTACACCTTCTACTTTGTTGTCATGACCATTTTTTTTCGTAAATAGGAAACAAAACAAAACTCAATGAAACATTTACTAATGTGACCGTCAAATTCATCTTTGTTACATCAACACTACATGCGTTCTTATCACTCAATGATTAGTATTGTCGTTCTGATTAGTATGATTTTAATTACTAATTGTTTCTTTTCTGGTTGTTGTTGCTGGTGATGATGGTGTGTGCGTATGTGCTCACATAAACCTTTCTCTGTTTACGTATTTGTGTATACATCATATAAACTAAATTCAACCATGATGAATGTAGATAAAAGGAAACATTTTGCTTCCCCCCCCTACATTATTTCATCGTTAATCTATATTGTGTATTGTATAAAATATAAACTAATATACTTTTATTTTTCTCATTTTATTTCATTAATTTAGAAAAAAAATTTCGTTTGTTTGTTGTTGTTTTTTTTACTTTATTTTTCATGTGCTTATTTTGGTTTGGTTTTTCTTTCACAATTTTTCTTTTTTTTTGTTTCGCCGTACAATTGACATTTCAATAAGTGTTATTTTCTTTTCCCATTCCCTTCTTTCTTTACATCTCTTACACTTTATCACTATTTTTTCTCTCTCGCTTTCTCTCTCGAATAACTTTTATAATCTGCATTAATCATAAATATAGACAAATTTGCACATACATGTGTGTACACACAATGGCTTTGTTGTTATGCGCTTTGAACACACATGTTTATGTACAGATTGTTTTTTTTCTCTTTGGTTTTGTTAATTTATTTTTCATTTAAATAATTTAATTCATTTTATTAATATTAAAGAAATACAACTTTGACCTCTGCTTCTAAAATATTATTATTACTGATATTATAATTATTATCATAACTAATAACATGACTATCATCATCATCATCATCATTGTTAGTAACAACCAATTCGACCATCTTCATTGAGTACATTTATACAATAACAGTAATAATGATAACAATATTAATCTAAACAAATGAAGAATTTAACGAATGTTATTTTATATATCTTTTTTTTTCTAGTGTTGATATATGTCTGTCCTTTAAGTGTATATGTGTAGGTTTACCTACCTACTAATATTACCAGTAATTACTCTGTGTATTAATTAATTAATTATTTGTATCTAATTTCCTTAATATATCGTAATGAGAAATGTGAATTATGTTGAAACATACATTAATGTTCTGTGTACTGACAATCATCATGACTTGAAATCAAAGTAAAAGTAGTATTGAAAAAACCTACTTTAGCTGATCTAATGCAATACATGTTCAAGGTTATAGCCAACTTTCATCTGAATTGATAACTTCAAGTAGTGTTCGTCATGGTTTTCAACCTTCTCTAGTTTTATTTAACTTTTAGATATAACACTCAACGTTTGATATTTCAAACATTGTTCAATCAGGAGATTAACATGTTGACTTGGAATACATAG